AATCATGAAAACTAGATTAATACCACCAAAGAGTTTAGAAAGTCACAAGACTACAAAGCAAGGAATATTACAGCAAGTATAAAACTTTAAGCATGCGAAAATCTGTGTGTTTGTGTTGGTGGTCACACTGATGGGATAACTGTAAATAATCTTAGCAGTGGACCTTTGACATGAGATGACCAGGAGCAGAACAGAAAGTGACATGCTGATTAGGTGGGCCAGACAGCTTCGACAGATGGAGAGGGAGATTAGGGATATAGACGTGTATCAAACATGACAGTACAATGGTCACAGGCCCATGCTTAGTGTCTCCCACCGTCCACCCGTCCTGACTGCAAGAGCAGTACACAAACACGACCTGGCACCCACACCTAGAGCAAAACACAGGTCTAGCCACAAATTCTTATTAAACAAAGAAGGCAAAATCATAAGGACAAACACCTCTGATATGGAGAAAATGTTTTAAATGTTGCCAGATTTTAAAAAGTTGCCAGATAATTAAAAAAAAAAAATTTATAGTATGGTAAAGGTATATTTTTGTCTCTGGGGATCAAACCCATGCATAATAGAATATTTAAAGAATTCAATACATGTCACCCCTGTTTCAAAAAGATTTGTTGTTGTTTTGAAAGAAATTAATACATTTATTCAGTAAGGATGCATTAAATTAATCAAAAGTGACAGTAAAGACCTAAATGCTGTTCTTTTAAACTTGATCATGGTTTCCACAAAAACACTAAGCAGCACAACTGTTTTAAGCATTGATTTAAAAAAAAATGTTTCTTGAGCACCAAATCGGCATATCAGAATGATTTCTGAAGGATCATGTGATACTGAAGACTGGGGTAATGATGCTGAAAATTCCACTTTGCCATCACAAGAATAAATTTGTTTAAATAATTTAAATTAGAAATCAGTTAGTTTAAATTCCAATAATATTTCACAATGTTACCATTTACTGTATTTTTAATCAAATAAGAGCTTCCTTAATGAACCTAAGAGACTTCTTTCAAAAACATTTTTGAACGGTTGTATACATGCTGGACAGCATTTTAGTCCGACTTCACAAGATTCAGGTAAAATAAAAAGATAGATTATTACTTTTGTCTGACTAAAATCACATTTCAAATTTCATGTAAATGTACTTAGTTTCTGTGGAACATCTTGCATGATAGTCCTGTAGAAGAGTGTTATAGAAACAGGACCCTTTCTGCTGTTATGACTAAGCATTGTGTCACACCCTCAGGTTGCAGCTTCAGCTTGGTGACCAACTGCATGTTGTTTTTATCCTGCAGGTTAATATGGTGAGTACTACGAGTCAGCCCGGCTGAAAGCAGATATGACTCAAGGATCAGAGGGGTCATACTTGTCCAGGCCAGCCCACAAGGAGCAAAAACTCTGAGGCCTTATGTTATCATCCCTCCCGGTGGGCTGCTTTTTTAAAGGAGTCATGACTAAGAAGTTAAGGTACAGGTTTAAAAGTCATAAAGTGACTAAGCATTGTGTCACACCCTCAGGTTGCAGCTTCAGCTTGGTGACCAACTGCATGTTGTTTTTATCCTGCAGGTTAATATGGTGAGTACTACGAGTCAGCCCGTCTGAAAGCAGATATGACTCAAGGATCAGAGGGGTCATACTTGTCCAGGCCAGCCCACAAGGAGCAAAAACTCTGAGGCCTTATGTTATCATCCCTCCCGGTGGGCTGCTTTTTTAAAGGAGTCATGACTAAGAAGTTAAGGTACAGGTTTAAAAGTCATAAAGTGAGGACACTTTTAGAGGACAGTGTTGTGCTGTAGAGCTAAACAGATTAAAATCCTGACTATAACCAAATGGCTAATAGAGAGAAAAACTGTGTTGCATTAACTTTAAACAAACAGTTCACCCAAAAATAAATATAGACCTTAGTCAGGTTAGATGCTATATTGAATTTAACATGGATAAAAACAAGGCTGTAAAGGATTTACAGTCTTCATAATATCACACACCTTATTATGCTCCTAGAGCAAATCATTTTTACAACTCACAACTCTTTTATGAAGATTTTGCCTATAGAATTTTCCCCCCCTAATAGACTCTGTACATTTGGCATCCTGTTAAAGAACAGTACAATCCATTGAACGTAATGTACTTCTATCCATCACAGCCTTGTTTTTATTCCTGTCAAAAAGTTAATATGGCGCTAACATCTATCGAGTACATTTTCACCAAATTTTCATTTTTGGGTATCTATTCCTTTAACTAAATGATCATAATTGGGCACTTGAATTATGTTTAACTTCATTTAATGTTTTGTGAGCAAGGTTTGTGTTAATAACTCTCTATAGCCAATTCCCAATCTCCACATTTCCCGCTCTTTTTTCTGCTTTACCCAATAGATTAATCCCAAATGTGATTACAGTGGCCAACTCACCGCCAAATTTAAGCAGAATCCCCCCTACAACCCCTCAAACACATAACCCTCCTTAAAAAAGATGTTCCACACGAGGAGGCTGTGGGGCGGCAGAGGAGCAAGAGCCGTAAGGCAGGGATGAGGCAGTAAACCCAGGGTAATCTGTCCCCCACAGTGCCATAAAGCATCTGAAAGGAGATTACAATCTCACGGCAGAGTGGAAAACGTGTGTGTCAAAAACAAACAGAGCTATTTTATCCTGACCACACATCTCTGAGACAATGACAATGTTGAGGACATGGAGAGCAATCAGTGTCAATCAGTGCTGAGATTTCCTCTCTGGTGCCAATAGTGGAGTAACTGAAGCACAGCGTTGTCAGTTTTGACACTCTGAATCTCTTTTTAAGTGTTTGCACACTTTAAAAGTTGTATTTCAGTCTGACACAATCAATAAAATGTACTCTACTGTCTGTCTTAGGTTTTTGTGATATCAGACTTTAACAGACCTCACATAATGTGACTGTAGCTCGCCTTCATCCAGCATGCACCCTATAAAAAATTATTTTTCCGAAGTTACTTGCCACTTCTTTGAAATTATTAGTGAAATATACTAGCAATTTCTGAGTGGAAATTTTCAGTGTATGTGTGAATCGGACTACAATTTTTCACCACATTGCGCACTTGTTTCAAAAGACAAGTGACACATGACATATCGCTTAATTATACTATTTGACTGAGTGTCCCAACAGGAAAACACGTACTTTTGTAACACTGGATAGTCTAGAGCTGCATTGATTGTTTAATATAAAAGGGGCACGGGTTCAAACTTGTTCCTTGGACAATAAAGTCTTGCTTTTGAGTTTCAAGTGACTTGAGGACCGGTAGATGATGGCTAAATCAAATTTAGAATTGCAGATTGGTGGTTTCTTGTTTTGGGGTTTCTTTTTGTACCTACAATGATCATGCAATCATTAAAGGCAAAAACATATTTTCTGGAGGTTGCAATTAAAATCCACTCTGCTCAACACTCAGTTTGGGGGTGTGATGCTTCTGGGTGAGTTCATGCATCATTAAGCAGGTGGGAGAACAATGGCTTGCAGGAGGCAACAGACAGACATCTGGGAGGGTGCAATACAACGGTCGCCTCCCACTGTCAGCACTGTCAACAATCTGGTTGCCACGCTTACGGTATGAACAGGAACCAGCAGAGAGCCAATAACTGCAGGCTAACTGGTTGGATGGATGCCTCCATCACGACAATAATGTAACATAATTCTGATGAAAAACCCACCCCCCTTATCAATGCACGTGACTGCTGTGCTGATGGGGAGGTGGTGGTGCCAAAACACGACACACCCTTGTGAATCTTTTGAGGAGACCACAAGTGACAAGATAAAAGGTTTATATATTATTTGGACAACAAGTGTTTAAAATGTATATATTATATACAAATCAATTGATTTATTTTAAATATTTTAATCTCTGGAACACTATAATAAAACGGATTAAATACCGTAAGGACAGCATGAAAGAAATGCATTTGTATCCCAAATGGAAGCTTTTTATAACTAGGCTATTATCTTCTTCTCCAGATTCACCTCACTTCCTCAAACATTCATCAATGGAATTCATTTGCTAATTGCATTCCATAACAGATTAAATTTGAGCACCATTAAAATACTAAATGATAATGTGGGTTTGCATAACATACAACACAGGGTTGAGTCTGAATTCTGAGGACCAGATGTGAGCAATCACAATCCACTGGTTTGGGTGTCAGCAGGTGTTCGGATGGAACAGAAATGTTCTGATTGATCTTTGAATATAACAAGCAAGTACAATTCAAAATAAGTAAAAAAAAACACAAAAATAGAGAGGTACAGTATGCAATATAATACAAATGTAATATAATAATGTAATAACCAGCTTCGACCTCCACTCAACCAGCGCACACAAATATCATTAAGATAATGAACACATGCCGCTGTAAAATCAGAGGATGTGGATAATTTTGTTCTTTCATTTGGAAGAATGTTGCAAATGCACTGAGAGGTAATTGTTAAATGGATTTGAGTGGCTGCACCCATGTCATTAATAAGCTGTCTGAGTGCATTCAGCGTGGAGGCACTAGAGAATGAAAATGAAAAAATAACCAAGTCAAATGCAAAATATCATTACAAAAATATTAAATTCATTTTTGTAATGGTTTATTATCGCTAACTCGGCTATTCAGGCTCAACAACATTATTTCTTGGTCCATATGTTAGCTTTTATTATACCAAGGAAGCACCAATTCAGTCTATCACCAGTGTACGAAGAGAGAGAGTTACAGCACAACAACATATCAAAGAGACAAAAAAATACATATAAATAAATAAATCAGACATGAGAGATGAAAAAGGTGGGTTCAAGAGAAGAAAAGAGCAAAAACTCAAACAAAAGTAAGCATAACAGCTCTAATTGTGCTGTCCAAGATTAAAATGCAACAGTTCCTCCATCTCTTTTTTCTTTCCTTTTTGTGTTTGACAAAACCTCGGCGCACGTCACACTTCACTCTCCTCCCATTCCACACTCACTCGCTCACTTCTCAAACTGCTCAGTTTCTACTCACCACAGCTGTCTCTTCGGAGGGATGCAGTCGTCTTTGTTGGAGGCTGTCACTCCCATGGCCATCTGCATCACTGTTATGTATTTCTGGTACTTCATATTGTCCACCACTACCACCACGAAACCAACATAGGTGAGCTTGTGCGCGTCTATTCCCTGGCATCCGCCTGCGCTGGGTCAGCCTCGTTCACTTTCAGAGCGCCATTTCCAGTGCTGAGGGACTGACAAGGAAAACACTCCTCAAGAAGCGCGACAAAAGGTACCATGCCGCTAGGACCCATGTCTGTTGTGACTCTGTAATCTCATTAGTGCTCTGAATAGCCAGCTAATCCATTCAGTGTTGGTCAGGAGCAGCACATTGTTTCTGCGCGCTCCTCGGGAAGCACTTTCTGTTCTGAAAACAATCAGAGAGAAACTCTGACAGAAGCCAGCGGCAAGTGACAGCGGTGTGTGTGAGGTAGGAGAGAGGAAAAGTGTGCATGTATATACGCGGAAAAAAGAGAGAGACAAGGGAGAGGGAGGGAGAAAGAGAGAGAGAGGGAGAGACGTGCACATGCTCGGGAAGAGCAAGAGTGGGGGTGAGAAGCAAAGAGCGAGAGAGACAGACAGCGAGAGCGTCTCTCAGATGGCACGGAAATAGATTTCAGAGTATCTAAACATAATGTCAGATGATTTACAAAACAACTCGGTTCATCCAGCTCACAAAAACATCTCAATGCAAATCAGATCAAAATTGAGCATTCTGTGATTTGAGCTCTGTGACCGGTGTTTACTAATGGCAGAGGGGGATGGGAGACATGCAGGAATAGGAGCGAGGGAGATGTGAAGAAGCGGCGAGAAGGCACAATTAATTTTTTAATCCCCAACACATGCACATAACCATAAGTAAATGAACTGGATACACAGATTAAGTTTTGCAACCAAACGCATAGGGATGCAACAGTGCTATTTTAATCCATGTAAAGCATCATTCTGTCCCAAGCAACAAACCTAAACAAGAGCCATAACAATGGCTACCTGCTGACGTTCTTTCGGTCTCAATCTGCTTAAGTAACCCTCATCTGATACCGCAGAGGTCTAAAGGGCAGCCGTTGTTAGCCTGACCATTGGCTGCCTTAACCAAGTTAAAGCACTGGCTTAATTAGAAAGGGCAATTTGCCATTAGACAAAAGAACGTTATTAGTCATATGCTTTCAGGTAACCAGGACATACAATAGGATCAATAGTAAGTGACTTTGATTTCCTAATTAAGCCCTATTTTTGCCATTCAACAGACACTTTTTACTTGTACCTGCATTTGAGTGCTTTGTGTTGGATAGCAATTTCAGTAACCGTTATTTCTTCCTGGGACCTGCCCACATGGGCCTGAAAGAGGTCCTTAACCTTTAGGCCTCTGAAGCACTAAATGAAATGGGGGATTGGGAGAGGGGGTTCTACACTTGCGATTAAGAAATGGAATTGAGTGATTAGCGAGTCCATTGTAATTGTGTAGAGAGAGATTAATTGATTATTATAATGGACCTCTTGGGTGTGCGGAACAACTATTTGTTGTGCTGTCAAACAACAAAAGAAATTTTGTGACTCACAAAAAGTCAGTAATTGATCTTCTATGCCAGCGGTGGCGAACTCCGGTCCTGGAGAGCCACAGCCCTGCAGAGTTCAGCTCTAACCCTAATTAAAACTCACCTGCCTGTAGCTTCCTAATAACCGTTCAGACCTTGATTAGCTTGTTCAGGTGTGTTTGATTAGGGTTGAAGCAAAGCTCTGCAGGGCTGCGGCTCGCCAGGACCGACGTTCGCCACCCCTGTTCTATGCGTTATAATATTGCAGGAAATACCTAACCACAAGCTATACGGAGTAAAATGAAATGCGACCAGGCAGTGGTTTGAGAGCGCACCAGCGCCTCGGTCCCACAGGAGAGCCCATTAACCTTTTTAGGTTAAGCATGACTAAGAGAGATGCACTTCAGTGAGGTCAAACACCAGGACACACACGGAAATATCACTGAGATTATGTGGAGCCTGAGAGTATCGCTATTTGATGGGATTTTATGCAGTACTTTTATATTTTAAGCCATAACAATGGCTACCTGCTGACGTTCTTTCGGTCTCAATCTGCTTAAGTAACCCTCATCTGATACCGCAGAGGTCTAAAGGGCAGCCGTTGTTAGCCTGACCATTGGCTGCCTTAACCAAGTTAAAGCACTGGCTTAATTAGAAAGGGCAATTTGCCATTAGACAAAAGAACGTTATTAGTCATATGCTTTCAGGTAACCAGGACATACAATAGGATCAATAGTAAGTGACTTTGATTTCCTAACTAAGCCTTGTTTTTGCCATTCAACAGACACTTTTTACTTGTACCTGCATTTGAGTGCTTTGTGTTGGATAGCAATTTCAGTAACCGTTATTTCTTCCTGGGTCCTGCCCACATGGGCCTGAAAGAGGTCCTTAACCTTTAGGCCTCTGAAGCACTAAATTAAATGGGGGATTGGGAGAGTGGGTTCTACACTTGCGATTAAGAAATGGAATTGAGTGATTAGCGAGTCCATTGTAATTGTGTAGAGAGAGATTAATTGATTATTATAATGGACCTCTTGGGTGTGCGGAACAACTATTTGTTGTGCTGTCAAACAACAAAAGAAATTTTGTGACTCACAAAAAGTCAGTAATTGATCTTCTATGCGTTATAATATTGCAGGAAATACCTAACCACAAGCTATACGGAGTAAAATGAAATGCGACCAGGCAGTGGTTTGAGAGCGCACCAGCGCCTCGGTCCCACAGGAGAGCCCATTAACCTTTTTAAGTTAAGCATGACTAAGAGAGATGCACTTCAGTGAGGTCAAACACCAGGACACACACGGAAATATCACTGAGATTATGTGGAGCCTGAGAGTATCGCTATTTGATGGGATTTTATGCAGTACTTTTATATTTTAAAAAAATAAGCGCACTAATAACTTTGTCTCAACTCTCAACACATTTATTTTCTAATAGAGCTGAAAGTAATAAGAGCACTTTTCCCTAGCAATTATGTGCATCTAAGCTATTGAACTGAGCCTCACTAATGAATCATATCAAGTCATACTAAATATAGCAACTACAATACTGTATGAGTCATACTGAAAGAGGTGTTAAGTACATCAGATACATATTTTAAAGGAAATAAGTTATTTATCAGGAATAATCTCTCTCTCTTTCTCTCCCTCTCTCTAACTTAAAGGGATAGCCTAAAACGTAGTGAATTGATGCATTTTTGTAAGAAAAATATCCATATTTAAAACTTTATAAACCGTAATCTCTAACTTCTGCTAAATGTCATACGTGCATTCACAATAGAACGCCGTTCCAGGCGGATGACGTAGGACGTCGGCGTAGTGTAAGCACCGGTGAGAAGTGATAAATACAGAAGCACAGAGGAGAGAGCAAAACAAAACACTGGTCACGTATTAGAAGTACAAAACAAGGATTTGTAAAGAACAATTTCAGAGGATTTCAATAAGCCAAGAGGAGACTAGTTTTCCTATGCTGTAAACAAAACTTCTCATGAGACTAGCATATTCTCACTGGAGATTACGCTACGTCCTACGTCATCCGCTGGAACGCCACTCTCTCGTGAACGTGCGTACGACAGTCAGTGGAAGCTAGAGATTACAGTTTATAAAGTTTTGGAAAAAATATGGATATTTTTCTTACAAAAATGCCTTGAATCGCTTCAGGAGGCCTTTATAAACTCCCGGGAGCCATGTGGAGCACTTTATTGGACTTCTTTTGGACTGCTGAATATAGACAGCCATTCTCTGCCACTATAAACCTTGAAAGAACCAAGACATTATTTAATATACCTTCGATTGTATTTGTCTGAAAGAAGAAAGTCATATACACCTAGGATGGCTTGAGGATGAGTAAATCATGGGGTAATTTTCATTACTGGGTGAACTAGCCCTTTAAATGAAAATTAGAAATGTTGCCATGGCAAATTAAATAATTTACACACAAAAAAAATACCAAAACTGCTAAAACTAAAATAAAAATGAATTAAAGCTAAATAAAACGACAAGCTTGTCAAAGCTTGAAAAAATTACTAAAATTAACTAAATTTTCAGTTAATTCAAAATATCACACATATCATAATAATAATAATACAGAGAGAGGTATATAATAATTTTATATTTTACAATAAAAAAGGATATAAAAGGATAGTGGGAAGTAAGAGGATAACGGCACAGAATATAAATTTAAAGGGGTTATATGATGCTATTTAAATTTTCTCTTTCTCTTTGGAGTGTTACAAGCTCTTGGTGCTAAAGTCTCAAATCCAAAGAGATATTCTTTATAAAAGTTCAGAGTCAACCACGCCTACCTAAAACGTCTCGTTCTAACATGTCCCCACATATCTACATCACAATGTGGGAAGATTTGCATAACCCGGCCCAAATGTTCATGCAAAGAAAGAAGGCGTAACTTTTATTCTCGCTGTTGCCGCCGCTGCCATGCTGTGGAGACGCTGTGTGTTTCGTTGTGAAAGCAAAACTACTTTGTCTGGTAGTTCAAAACTACGAATCGTTCTATCTAACCGGATCTTCTTAGTGAACCGGTCGAACCAGTTCACCAAATCGAACTGAATCGTTTGAAACGGTTCACGTCTACAGTACGCACTAATCCACAAATTACTTAAATTATTCAGTTTATAAACATGCCTGACACTCCCTCTGACACGATATGATGGGATGTGCACGAGCAGAGCAGCTGGCCTGAGTCTTGTCCTGCTGTGAGACGGGATCACAGTATGGTAAGGGGTGTAACATTTCTGTCACATGCTTGAGGTATTCGGCCAATCACAACGCACTGGATAGCTGGCCAATCAGAGCACACCTCGCTTTTTTAGAATGATGAGCTTTGTATAAATCGACACGTTTCAGAAAGGCGGGGGATAAAGGAGAAACAATAATGTACAGTATGTGGAAAATAATGTGTTTTTTAACCTTAAACCGCATAAAC